GCTGGGGCCCTGCCTATCTCCCCAGGGGCTGATAGCAGATAAATGAAACCACTGCTTCAAAGCAGCTGCTCAAGGACCCATCTAACACACTGGCCGGCAGATAAGCTTCCCTCTACATTTCCTTTTGCCCCTTCCTTCTTACTACAGCAGTTAAAAGAAATTCTTGGGGGAGGAAAAGGAGTTAATTCTTCCTTCTTTTATCAGTAAGAGTTAGTTCTCCTGTCCACACAGGATGGAGCAAGTAGAAGGTAATAGACCAAGAATCAGGGCGAGGGCTGGAAAGGCTCCATTCTGTGCCCACTCTGCCAGCCACTTGCTGCGAGCTTTAGACTGTCCCTAAGCTCGCAGGACTAGTTTCTTCACCTGTCCAACAAGAGCAATAACACCTGCCCAAAACAGCTCAGAAAATTATGAGATGATAGACACAAAAATGTATGTGGAAAAAAATATTTTACCCTTTTTTTTTTTAGAGACAGGGTCTTGCTACGTTGCCCAGGCTGTTCTTAAACTCCTGGCCTCAAGCAATCCTCCTTGGCCTCTCAAAGTGCCAAGATTACAGGCATGAGTCACCATGACCAGTTGATATTTAAACATGCTTTATAGCCAACATTTTGAAAAGTACAGTCATCCTCCTTAAATCTTTTGAGAATATTGTAAGGTGTGATATAAGTAAATAGCCCTATATAAAGTGCATGTAATATTCGTTCATCAACTAACATTTTGTGGGCACCTAGCTGTACTGACACTGCCTGAATTCACACACACCCCTCCACTCTACCTCCTACTAACCAGGACCTTGAGCAACTCACTTGTGCCTCTGAAATGAGCGTAATAGGACTTACTTCAAGGGTCTCTGGGTTGAATGAGATAATACACTGTCCTAATTATGTGAGCAACACTCAGTGCTGGCCACTGTGATGGTGATGATGGTTAAACACTGCGCTGGGCAATGAGAGTCCAAAGAGGATGAGGACATTGCAGCAGCATTCACAGTCCAGAGGAAGATCAGACAAGGAAACAAACACTGGCAGATGCCCCGTGATAAATACAACAATGGAGCATAATCTGAACTGTGAGAATTGTCACTCCTTGGGTCAGTGTAGGGCAGGCTTCCTGCAAGGCTGGCTGTCCTCCCCTTTAGTCAGATTGCACTTGCTGTTCCTGGGTCCCCTCGCCCAGTGTCTGAAGCCCAGAGATGGGGGACACGGCAGAGGAAGTGCCCCTGAGTGCCCAAAGTGCAGTGCCACTGAATCAGGGCTCCCGCCCAGAGCTCTAATTGCCAGCCGCTGAAAGATATTAAGCGCCATGGAGGAGAACCAAGTTCTCTGTGAGGCAGACTTTTTAAGAGTTCTTACAGCTTGTAAAAAAAAAAAAAAAATGCAAATAGTTACCCAGTGAGATATTATTTCATGCTGTTGCCATTAGGGTTTGAGTGCTATGCAGAGAGGTGATCGTTCAGGCAGTTCTCAGCGAGGACTGAACGCTACACATTCACCCACACAACGTATCTGCCTCCACTCGGTCTTAACCTGACTCAGGTATTTTTTTCCTGGCTGGTGAATTTTATGTAAATTTAAGTGGTAAAAAGAAAAACAAATCTATAAATATTCAGTTTCCTAAAGGATTTTCTTGATGGCATCTGCAAAGAGTGGAGGGTCTGTTTTTTTAAAAGACACATTTGACTGGAGGCTGCGCGAGGGGTTATTCTCATTTCTGTGGAATTCTAGGACAACACGGGCTCTTTGGGTGAGTCACGAATGCTGAGATCTTCGGGATTCAGCCGCTGACATGACTGGCTACTTCTGCAGACACAGATGGTACCATCGGGGGCTGCCATCATTTACCTGAGACTCTGTGGCAAGCACGGAACAGGTGACACAACTTGTCTACTTTTGCTCTCCCAACTCCGAGGTGGCTGTGCTGACATTTTACAAAGGAGGAAACTGAGGCTTAGGAAGGTTAACTTGCTGAGGGTCAGCACACCAGCCTGGTTCAGGCCTGGGACCAGGGACTGCTCTACCTCTCCTTGTCACCTCGCTCGCTTCAGCTTACTAAGGACCTGACGTGTGGAGCTGCCGTTCTTCCCCACAGTGGCATCACGCATGCTCAGACAGCCCTCGTCCCCATCCCATTTTAATGGTGGCTGCTTGTTCCCGGGCAATCTGAGAAGGGGAACAAGCAGCCACCCTATATAGGAAGGCCCTGTCACTAGACATCTGTCACTGTTTTAGGGGAGGCAGGACTTACACCATATGCCCTCTACTGTGACATCTTACAGACTTTCCAACCACGCCCCCAGCACAATGCGCTGGCCACAGCTGGCCCTCAATAAACACGGCCCATCTGGATACTGAGGCAGACTGCCTCCCAGGTGCCATTCCTCTGCACTTGCTTTCAGATCACTAGGGCAGAGTTTAGGGCTCTGTATGGTGTAGCAGTTCAGCTAAGTGAATGTCAAATGCTGATGGTAATGATCATGTAGTAGTGTTTTAATTAGGCCTCTGGCCTGGCTAAGCATGGTTCTCCATTCTCCCTCCTAAGGCGATAGGAGGATCCAGCCAGAGAAACCCTGCTGCCCTCACCAGCACCCCAAAGTGTGTCCCGCCTCCCTGTGTACTCTCCGAAGCCAAGTGCATCCTGTCCACCTTCCAGGTGGGGAGGAACAGGCCTAGCCAACACAGCAGTGCTGCCTGAAACCCCTGCCTGTATCAGAGACGAGTGCTGGAAGCTAAGGGAGGGAGGTGCTTTTAAAAGCACAAACACTATTGCTGAGGCAAACTCCCCACCCCAGCCCACCCCAGCCAGACAGCCTGTCCCCACCTCCTTTTTTCTCACTTCTTTTCTTTCATTCACCACCTTTTTTCTCTTCCAAATAGAGAATGAATATTCTCCTCCAGTTGTCCCATCCTTCCAAATTCCTAAATGTCTCTTCTCTCTCCCTCCCTCCCCTTTTTGTCTGGACTTATTTCTCATCAATCATTTCTAACACACAGCTGCTTGGGCTCTACAAGGATCCCTGGGCTGGCTCTCTCAGCTGGGCTGGTCACAAGAACCAGGGAGCTTTCATCTTTCATTGCCTCCAAGGTCTCCCCTCTGCCCAGCTCTTCCTCCTCCAGGGGCCTGCTGGCCGGCCCCTCTGCACCAGCTTTCTTCTGCTGGTCCCACTCTGCACCACAGTCTCCTGAAGGCCAGATGGCCTCACGGGCAGGAACTGCCCTGCAGTGGTGTTGGTGGTGACAGCAATGTCGATGCCCAGAGGCCAGTGTGAGCTAAGGGGGGTAGGAAAGGGAGAGCCCATCACAGTCAAATAAATGGGATCAGCCCTCCCCTTCCATTCTTGTACCCCTCTTGCTGCAATATGGGAAACACTTCGCAGTCAGAACATCCTCTGTCTTTAGGTTTAACTTGATTTTACCAAAATTACAACAGGGCAGGAGTTTAATTACAGCCCGTGTAATTTTCAAAGAGTTCTATCCATGCTACCCCAAACCAGCATGAAGCCAGCTTAGCGCACGATCCACGATGTGGCCTGGGAGCTGTGCCTGCTGTCTTCTCACTGAGCATGATAAAGGGTCCAGATCGCTGGTCCTAAACCGTTATTTTCTTGTGCTGGAAAAACCCCTTTGAAATCACCTATCCCATCTTGGGTTCTCACATCCCCTGAGGACATCAGTCAGTGTGGCAGAGCAGGGAACTGGCAGTCCCCGAGCAAGAGGCCCCGAGTGACAGGCCTGACGATCTGAGCAATGGCTTGGGACTGGAAAAGTAGTCTCGGAGTGAGACAGTGACACCAGGGCGCCTCATCTGGCAGCCAGGAGCAAGGGGAGGTGGTGCACCCCGACCACTATGCCCAAAGGGCCAGCGGTGGTGCCTGCCTCAGAGCCGCCGGCCAGGAACTTTGATATCAGGGCTATGACGAGGTAAAATCTGTGCCAAGGGCGAAGCTGGTCCTGCACACGTTATCCAAAAGGGGACACCTTCAGGAAAGGTTATTTTTAATTAACAGTTTTTGTCCTGAAATTTCCCCGAGGAAAGCTGGTCCATTTTCCTTTCCCCGACCCTCGCCTCCCATCAGGAGAATGACGGAAGGGCTTATCTCTGGAGTTCGTGACAACACGCAACACTCACAGATCGCCCCTCCTCTGGGACACTGGCCTCTCTCGTGAACCCGTGAACCCGGGTCCCCCCCCCCCAAAATAGCAGCTAGACACTGGAGAGTGAAAAAACTTTACGCCTTTAAACGGGACACGAAAAGAAACCTGAAACACCCCAACACAGAACCTACAAATCAATGCGCGGGCACCGCGCGCCGGGCGGTCAGGGCGGCGCGCGCGGCCGCGCTTAGTCGGACCCTCACTCCGGAAGGGAGGCAAACTGTAAGCCTTCGGAGGGGCCAGGCTGAGAGTAGTTGGAGCTGCTTAGAGTGGATGCCTCGGAGGCGCAGATGCTTCCAAGTGCACGCACCCGGGAAAGGCCAATTAGGGGAAGGAGAACGGGGCCAAGCGGAGCCGGAGCTGCGCAGAAGGACCGGGGCTCCCGAGGCGCGGCCCGTTCCCCGGCGGCCTCGGGGAGAGGCTCGGACGGCTTCCTACCCGAGCCGGAGCCGTGCGGTCCCTCCCACCCTCGACCCCACCCCAAAAACACTCGGCCAGCAGAGTGACAGCCCCTGCCAGCACCACCCCCCAGTGGTGGGAAGGCAGAGAAGAGAGCGAGCGAGTGGAAACTAAGCGGAGGATCGGGCAGAGAGCCCAGGGTCCCGGAGAATTCCTGTCCCTGGTGGGGCCCGTGGCGAGGCCGGCGCAGTCGGGGGGAGGGGAGGAGGACAGCGAGCCGCGGAGGCCCGGGCGGCGGCGGCACGCGCACTGCTGCTGCCCCTTTAAGGCTCTCCCCGCCCACCGGCCGCGCCAGCTCCGCCTGCCGCTGTCCCCGCCCCGGGGTCCGGGCGAGAGCTGCGATTGGGCGGGCGCGGCGATCCCTTTGAAGTGTGGCTGCCGATCGCGGCTATTTGACGTGCGGCTCGCGGAAGGCGAAGGTTTTTGTGTTGCTAGTCGGGCTGGCGGCTGTGGCGGTGGCGGCGGCGGCGGCGGCGGTGGAGGAGGGGAGGAGGCGCAGCGACTCTGCACCGCGATCGGCGCTGCTGAGAGAGCCCACCCGCCCCGGGAGCTCGCCTCCCCGGTGCTCCCCCTCCCTCCCCGCCCCCCCAGCGGCGCTGCCTCCTCCAAATGAGCGATTCGCCCGCTGGATCTAACCCAAGGACACCCGAAAGCAGCGGCAGCGGCAGCGGCGGCGGCGGGAAGAGGCCGGCGGTGCCGGCGGCGGTGTCCCTCTTGCCCCCGGCGGACCCCCTGCGCCAGGCGAACCGACTCCCTATCAGGGTCCTGAAGATGCTGAGCGCTCACACCGGTCACCTCCTGCACCCGGAGTACCTGCAGCCGCTGTCCTCCACTCCTGTCAGCCCCATTGAGGTCAGTCTCCCGGTCGCTGCCAGCCCAGCGCCGGCCCCATTCCGCCCACCACCGCCGGGCCCAGGACCTTGCTGCCTGCGTCCCGAGACACGGTGCGACGCCCAAGTCTGGCCACGCTGGCTGCAGAGTGAGGAGAGACGGAAAATAGAGGGAGCAGAGCCCTGCGGGTTCTCCCCACGCTGCCCCAGGGAAGGTTCTCCCTTACACTTGGCCTTCAGAGCTCTGCGTTTGCTCGGATGGGATTGGCTCTTGCGGTCCCCACTGGCTCCCTTCCTTTTCCTCTGGCACCCAGTTTGAAGCTCAGAGGTGGTCGCCCTGGGCCTTCCCCGCCCCCCACTCTGGTTTGTTCCCTTTGAAGCCCTGGCCGCCGAGTCTCACTCCGCCTCCGTCCCATCCGGTTAGGGCGCTCTACCCCTGCACTCGCCATCCCGGGTCTTTCTTCCTGCCCCTTCCCGGTGCCCTCCCCAGGAGGGAGGGGCTACTACGAGAGCGCCTGGAATCCTGTCTTCCCCTCTCCTACCCGGCGGCGCCACCTCCTGAAACCCGTCCCGAGCGAAGTTCCCCCAAACTGAAGGAATAAGTTTCTGCCCGGGCCTAGAGGAGGGGGAGCGTAGAGAGAAGGGGAGTCACAGCCTTGACTCCAGACAAGTCGCCTCCTCCCGCGGGGTCTTGGGTGAACCCGATTCCCGGAGCCGGTGGCGCCCTCGCGGACCCACGCGCAGTGCGGGAGCAGTCCCGCCCCGCGGCCCCGCCCGGCCCGGCCCGCCCGGCTCGGCTCCTAGACCCTCTCCCCAAGGCCCTTCCCGCCCCGCCGCGCCCCAGCCGAGCGCGTCCAGAGTCACACAACTCCCCCGGCGCCCCCGCTCGCTTCGTGGGTCTCTAAGCCTCACCTCTTTTTCCTTCCCCTTTGCCGCTGTCTTCCACAGCTGGACGCCAAGAAGAGTCCTTTGGCTCTGCTGGCCCAGACCTGCTCGCAGATCGGCAAGCCGGACCCGCCGCCCTCCTCCAAGCTCAACTCTGTGGCGGCCGCGGCCAACGGGCTGGGAGCGGAGAAGGACCCTGGCCGCTCTGCCCCGGGCGCCACCTCGGCGTCAGCAGCCCTCAAGCAGCTGGGGGACTCCCCTGCCGAAGACAAGTCCAGCTTCAAGCCCTACTCCAAGGGCTCGGGTGGCGGCGACTCCCGCAAAGACAGCGGCTCGTCTTCTGTGTCGTCCACCTCCTCATCGTCCTCCTCGTCCCCAGGAGACAAGGCGGGCTTCAGGGTCCCCAGCGCTGCCTGCCCGCCCTTTCCCCCGCATGGAGCGCCAGCGTCCGGGTCGTCGTCCTCGTCCTCGCCTGGCGGCTCCCGCGGCGGCTCCCCGCACCACTCTGACTGCAAGAACGGCGGCGGGGGTGGCGGCGGGGAGCTGGACAAGAAAGACCAGGAGCCCAAGCCCAGCCCGGAGCCCGCGGCCGTGAGCCGCAGCGGCGGCGGCGAGCCGGGCGCCCACGGTGGCACAGAGGCTGGGGCCTCCGGTCGCAAGTCGGAGCCGCCCTCGGCTCTGGTGGGGGCTGGCCACGTGGCGCCTGTGTCACCCTACAAGCCGGGTCACTCGGTGTTCCCTTTGCCGCCCTCCAGCATCGGCTACCATGGCTCTATCGTGGGCGCCTACGCTGGCTACCCGTCTCAATTCGTGCCTGGCCTGGATCCTAGCAAGTCTGGCCTTGTGGGAGGCCAGCTGTCCGGAGGACTGGGCCTGCCGCCGGGCAAGCCCCCCAGCTCCAGCCCGCTCACGGGGGCCTCCCCGCCCTCCTTCCTGCAGGGATTGTGCCGCGACCCATACTGCCTGGGAGGTTACCACAGCGCCTCGCACCTCGGTGGCTCCAGCTGCTCCACTTGCAGCGCGCACGACCCGGCCGGGCCTAGCCTGAAGACGGGGGGCTACCCGCTGGTGTACCCCGGGCACCCGCTACAGCCCGCCGCCCTCTCGTCCAGCGCCGCCCAGGCTGCGCTGCCTGGCCACCCGCTCTACACCTACGGCTTCATGCTTCAGAACGAGCCCCTACCGCACAGCTGCAACTGGGTGGCGGCCAGCGGGCCGTGCGACAAGCGCTTCGCCACCTCGGAGGAGCTGCTTAGCCACCTGCGGACTCACACGGCCCTGCCGGGCGCAGAGAAACTTCTGGCCGCCTACCCTGGGGCCTCGGGCCTGGGCAGCGCTGCTGCAGCTGCGGCGGCCGCAGCCTCCTGCCACCTACACCTCCCCCCGCCCGCCGCCCCCGGCAGCCCCGGGTCGCTGTCATTGCGGAGTCCACACACTTTGGGGCTAAGCCGGTACCACCCCTATGGCAAGAGCCACTTATCCACAGCTGGGGGCCTGGCTGTGCCGTCGCTGCCCACAGCCGGACCCTACTACTCGCCGTACGCGCTGTACGGACAGAGACTCGCCTCAGCCTCGGCGCTCGGATACCAGTAACTACAGTCCTCCTCCGCCCTGTCCCCACTTCCCCTACCGCTGTCGCCGCTGCAACCTCCACTACTGCTTGTCCCCGCCGGGATTCCCCGCCCAGACCCTCCCCACCGGACTGTATTTATTTACTGTAATGTTAGCTTACAAGCTGGGAATATAAGTGCATTAACGGCCCTCATGAGGCAATGGTATGCAAAAAGTCTGTGTTTTCCCAAATAATAATATTAATCACACAAATAACTACATGATCCCCGCCCCTCTTCCTTTCTTTTTCTTTTTCCTTTTCTTAGGCGTAAGTTTTAAATGTGTATTCTTTCTCTCTTTCTTTTTTTTTCCCCACTGGTTTGGTTTTAGGGAGAGGAGGAGAGAAGGGCACTTGGCCTCTTCTGTATTCTAATTTCTGCTCCCTGGGGAGTTTCTTGCATGAGTCTTAACTGTTCAAACTACAGTTCTCCCTTCTCTCTTTCCTCTCATTCCTTCTTGTTTCTTTCCATTCGAGGTTCTGTTTTATCCTTTGTACAAGTAACAGGTTTTATTTTTGTGTGTAGCATATTTGGGGTGTGGAGGGGGCTGCTAAGGTGGCAGGAGGTCCTGAGCTACTGACGGGGAACTCTGCTCTGCGGACTCCTCCCTACCGACTCTCTCCTCTTAGGTTCCTGGGTCAGGGACATGCTCCCCCCCCCCCAAGAAAAAAATTAGAGCCTTGCTCTCCTACCTTGCTCTGAGCACAGAGAGCCTGGACCCCAACAGGCTCTCCCTGTAGAGGGGCCCAGATGGCCTCCGCCAGAGCCTTTCCGTCCGTCCTTCCCGCTGGTGGGCGACCGTGGGGCTCACCCTACTCAAGTAAAAGTCGTAGAAGGCCCTGCTGGCCTGAAACTTTGCTCCTTGTATTTTGCGAAGTGCTTTATTGTTTTTCTCTCCCTAATTGGGGCAATGACCCTCCCCTGGCGGAGGGGCGGACAGGGTCAGTGATTCTAGCTAGATCCCCCCCAAAGCAGACCCCAAAGCCACGTCAGCTGACGTCACAACCTTGTTAGTGCGGCTGGGGGAAGGCTGAGGAGTCGGAGCGCAGGGATCACAGCGGCCCCCCACCCTCCCCGCCTGACCCAGCAGAGCCGCCAAAGTCGGCCCTGGGCCTCCTAGGCTCCCCAGCGACTGGGCTGGAAGACTCGGCCCCTGGGTCTTCTCCCCACAGCGCCCTCCCCCGGTGTTATGCAGCAGCGTGGGGACTGCGGGGCCGTTCTGGATAAATAGAGATCTCCCTTGGTAAGACTTATTTTGTTAATAAATGGAATACTTGGCTATATTCACACCGTGGTGTGTCTCTCTCGCATCACCCACCGCCCACTTACAAACACCTGAGTAGATGCCCTTCCTTTACTCTTGTTTAAAATACCTTATGGTTTCCTTCTGTGATTTCCGTTCAAGGACAATTTTAATGCCTTTCCTCAAGAAAGGGGGGAGGAAACAAAAAGTTCTGCCAACGCGTTACAAATAACATAAACCACTTTTTTTTCTACTTGGTTATTTAGCCTTCAGCCTCACTTCAAAGGCCTTGACATTTCCTGGGGCCAGGGTGGAGGGCGTGTGTGAAAGTAGGTTTTCCTCTGAGCCTACATTCGAGGTGCGCGGAGAGCTGAGATGGGAAGCAGCACCCAGGGCTCCAGCAGAGACTCACTGCCCCACGGTCCCGGAGCCCGGAGGGCAGAAGGGCCAAGAAGACGTGCCTTTGGCGCCACCTGGTGGCAGAAAGACGAGCGACGGAGAGAAGCCGCATCTGGCTTCAGCTCCGACGGCACCTTTGCGTGTCCCATCCTTTAAATGCCCATGGTTTCTACTTGATGGTTTTTTTTATGGTGGGTAGGGGGTGAGGGGAATCCTCTCTTTCCTGGCCAAAGAGTAAATACACCTGCCGAGAAGGTCGCTGCTCGAGGCATGAAGGCTCACTTCAGCCAGCTTTGGGGTGTCGACCTGCACCATCTGCACCCGCAGAACTTTTTTGGAACAGAAGTTCGGGGTTTTGCTGAGAAGGTATGGCTGTTACTCGCGACTACTCCGTCCAGTGGAGCCTGGCTCCTAGGCCTGGCTTGTCTGTCTTCCTGAGTTCCAATGACCGGCACAGACCTCTGCACCCTTGGGCAAGCAAGGATGTGGGTGCGGTTGACTGGGGTGTTGGCCAGAGTGTCCATCTGTCCACTTGGACAGACCCAAGGGAGCTTCCCAGGCCAGAAGAGAAGACGCCGGCGGGCGCCCCGCAGCCTGGTCCTGCCCAGTGCTGGCTGCTGCCCACACCCTCCAGCGGTGAGAGACTCTTGGCGCCGGGCTCTGGCTCTCCTTGAACCAGGCCAGGATCAGGCCAGGAGGCTCTGCGCCTTCGGGGCCGCGTCCCTTTCCGTGGGCTCCGCGTGGCTGTGAGGTCTGCGTTCCGCTCTGCTTTGCTTCTTCTGTGAGGCGCATGACTTAGCAGGGAGTTGGTGCCCAAATGCTGTGTGCTTCTGAACTGCCTACAGCCCAAGGTCAAGTGTATGGAAGTCCTGGAAGTCATGGGGGCCGCCTCTGCCTTCCCGGTTTTAGTTGTCCAGAAACTCAGCAACTGGAGCATAGAAAAGTTTCAGCTGCAGCTCCAGGGAAGGCCGCGCAGACTAGCTGCTGGCTGAGCGCTCCCCTCTATATTCCAGGGGACCTCAGCATAAAACGTGTTTGTACATGTTTCTTTGCCCAAATCTTTGGATCTAGCCAAAATCCCTTCTTTGGTCAAGAGAACACAGGGTTCCTTTTGCAAGGTCATGGTTAAGACCCTGTATGTGTCCCAAGGCAGGGAGCCTGAGCTACTGGTGTCACCAGGCACAGGAAGGACCCCAGTAGGGTCTAGGCAGGAAGGGCTGGGAAAGTCGCCCTGAAGAATTCCGGGTCTTCCTCGGCAACCAGCATTATCGGATTTCTCAGGATTCAAATAGGTCCGAATCTTAAAAGGCCTGAGATGTAATTAACCATCATTGCTTTATTTTTTCTGTCGTTTGCTGTTTATTAGCATTCTTTTCCTCTTAAGTCCCTTCTTAAGGCTTTCCTTTTCAATGTCTTCTTTTTGTTTTTTTTTTTTTTTTTGAAACAGAGTCTCACTTTGTTGCCCTCAGTAGAGTGCCATGGCGTCACAGCTCACAGCAACCTCAAACCCTTGGGCTTCAGTGATTCTCTTGCCCCAGCCTCCCTAGTAGATGGAACTACAGGCGCCCACCACAATGCCCGGCTATTTTTTGTTGCAGTTGTCATTGTTGTTCAGGTGCCCAGGACCAGGTTCAAACCTGCCAGCCTCTGTGCATGTGGCTGGCGCCCTAACCACTGAGCTACGGGCACCGCCCCTTTTCAAAGTCTTTTAAAGCTGGTGGAAATTGCTTCCTCTGCAGCCCAACCTGAACTTTTCTCTTTCACACTTTTAGTCTTGGGTCTTCAGATGCCCCTGCCTAAGGGCTCCCCTTGTCAGGAAGAAAGGAAGGAAGAGACTCAGTATCTCCCACAACTGTCAAATTCTCTCTATACCAAAAGAAACTTTTCCAATGGAGTGTTTGGCTCTCACCTTTGATGTAAGAATACAGGTTAGCAAACTGCTTAGACTACTGAGTTTCCTCTGTAAAATGTTTTGGCAGCCTTTGGAGGAGCCTCAGGGGGTCAGCTGATAGGCTTGGTTGGAATAGGCTGCCCCCAACTACCATGGTGGTGCCCTCAACTACAGTGATCCCAAAGGTCAGGTAATGGAGTCTGGAGTGTCCAGCTCTTTCCCTGAAATGATGGCTCTCCTGACAGTAAGTTGACAACATTTCCTGAGAAATGTGGCTATTTTAACTAGCTGGGAGGGAGTTCGTTACTTTTAATAGCTTACTCTCATTAAAGTTGCCATTTTAATAGAGATGGTGCTCCACCCACCAACTGCTTATTTGCATAATTAATTTATAGAGCAGCTGTTTCTCTGGGGATCACCTCCACCTTCTCTTTCTCCACCTCCTTCTCCTCCTAGCTCTCATCCAACTTCCTCCTAATCTCTCCCAGGCGCCAGAAGTGGGGCTTGTGTGCCCAAAGCGCCAGGAAGGGTGGAAGCCACAGAGCTGGAACCTGAGACACTGGATGTTCCTGGCTCGGGGTCCTATTTTCACACTTCTTGCCTGGTTATTTTTGTGGCCTTGTGGCAGCAAAGAGAGGAAGGAAGGAAGAAGAAGGGGAGAGGGGAAAGGTTCACCCTCACATACAGGTTAGACTCAAATAAGATCGTGTGGTGGTAAGTTTTTAAGTTCCCAACTATCCACCCGCAAACCCGTCTCCCCAAGAAATCATAGTCCAAGTGGGAGGGGTGGGGGCCTTCCCCTCCCTCCTGTAGCCATAATTGCCTCTCCCTACCTAGCACATGGTAACGGTGTCTCTCAATCCGTGAACTAGCTCTCTCCTGATGTATGTCTGGGTCAGGGTGGAATTCGTCTTATGATAATCCTATGGGCTCTGCACTTTATTAATCATTCTGTAGGGGAGCTGCACTCGGGTTTTCTGTTTGATTTGATTTCATTCATCCTGTCTTTTTGCAAAATAGATGGTTGAGTGCATCCGATAATGTATGGTTTAATTTGGAGCACTATGGGTTTGAATTACCATTTTCATAATGTGCTGTGCATTAATGTGTTACATCATTTATAAAGAGGAATGTGCCGGGTTTCAAACTTTCTCCTGAAAGCCAAAGTCACCTAAAGGAAACAAAGCCAAATCACTTCAACCCATCTTCTTACCTCCCTGCCAGAAAAACTCCTGCCTCCCCCAGCCCAGTTAAATCTGCCAAAGCTCATAAAACCCAACGTGAGCCTTTCATATTCACATAATGCAGGTGGGTGTCGAGGTTTGAGGGGGGCTTGCACATGGCTGCCCCAGAGCTCAATGGCAGTAAAAAGCTCCCCTCATTATTGCATAACAACAGCTTTGCAGCCAACCCCAGTTTTCAGTTATTTTTTTTCCGGAGACCTCCAGTGGATGGCTCTCCCCGCGACCCTAATCCCAGCACACCCTCCCCAATGGCTGTAATAACACCAGCTGTCTGTTACTCAAACTCTGACTGAGGAGGAAAAAGCACTGATTATCCAAATACAGTCATTAAAGGGGAAATGTGTTTTTAGGACTGTCAGAGTGATTAATGAGGGCTAGCCGTCTTTGCAAATGCACTTGTTTAGTCTAACTGGCAGCTTCTATTTTCCTATTGATTTATTGCAGCCGTTGCCGGGCCTTGGTGTGTGCGAAGTCAGGGCACTTCACAACTGAGCCCTGTTTAAACAGGAAAAGCATGCCCCATTTTGTCCGGGAGGGAGAGAGCAGCCTAAAGTCTCTCCCCTTCAGTTCAGTCTCCAGGGGCCCAGACCAACAAAGAAGACATTAAAAACCTGCAGTCCAGAGAGGGAAGGAAACGGCCTCCCCGGGTCATCCCCAGACACTCAGTTCCGAGGTCAGTGGAGACGCACCATGGCTCCTGGACAAAGCCCACCCTATTGTAACACTCAGCATGCCCACATTTCCCCTGCCAGTCCTCCAAACCAGCTGTCAGCCATTGAGTCCAAGTCCAGGAAAGGCCCCCAGCAGAGGGAGAGGCAGGGGAGGGACTGAAGAGGCAAGGCTTGGGGTGGAAACAGAAGCAAAGCAACCCCTGGAGTGCAGGGGCAGGAGCAAAGGGCCTGGGGCAGGGTGAAGGGTAGCAAACTGATAGAGACCAACTGCTTGTTCTAACTTTTTTTTTTTCAGTAGAGACAGGGTCTTGCTATGTTGCCCAGGCTGGTTCAAACTTCTGGCCTCAATTGATCCTCCTGCCTCAGCCTCCCAAAGTGCTGAGATTACGAGCCCGAGCCACTGTGCCAGGACAGTTTCAACTTTTACAAAGAGGGCAGGGTGACTTCTTTAATGATATGTACTTCTTTCCACTTGTACATTTTAACAAAGGATGTATCTAGTGACCAAAATAGAGAAATGGCAGCTTGGGAATAGGGTCCCAAGTATTTTGGGATTTTAGTTCCAGGTGGCCAATTATCAAAGCAAACAGAACTCCCGGAATTCCTGTTGTGCCCAGCACATTGCTGAATGCACCACAAGAAGCGAAAGAAAAGTCAGACAGAATTCCTGCCCACCTGAGTTGCAGGAGACAAGACACGCCCGTGAGACAGGGAACAAGATAGCGTAACTGCATTTCTGTTGACCTGAGAAAGTGCTAAAATAAGTCCTTCTGTGCAGACAGTGGGGAAGAGGAGAGGATCTCATACGGTGCTAATTGTGCAGCTCAAATGGTCCAGCA